AGACTTTTTCACTTGTTTCACAACAAGAACGCCAATTTAAATATGAGGATCATCAGGTTAAATCTCCTAATTCTCAAGTTTTTGCAGCAGTGGGAGATCAAAGCAATTATAGGCGTGGAAATCCTAATGCTGGACGCAGTTTCAGAGGACAAGGACGTGGATCTTATGGAAGGAATTCACCAAACAAAATATGTACACACTGCCACAAGACGAATCATACTGTTGAAACTTGCTGCATCCTGATAACTCATATTTTGTTACACTTATTTATTACTCTTGGTTGGTATTTTTATGATTTATTTGAATTGAATAAAGGTCTTTTGGGTCAATTCACAATTCTAGATTTTAGTTGGGTTTAATTGATTTTCGTCATAATTTTCCAGATTTACACTACTTCCGTATTTTGACCATATTTCACTCTACAGATGTCCGATTGACTCCGTTCTTGTTGCTTTTTGCAGCTAACAAATAGGGCTACAATCGCTATTTCAGCTACTAAAGCCCAATTCGGACGAGAAGATGGTCGAAACTTGATCTCAAGATGACGTGTTTTGCTGGAATTTTATTTTGACGTTTGAACTTGTAATTTTCATTAGGACCCAATGTGTTCAGGGCCCAAGGCCATGTTTTATTATTTTATTTTATTCAGCTTTTATTTTATGTTTGGGCTGAAGCGTTGAAACCCTAGCCGTCCTGTGTGACGGCTATTTAAGGGAGACTCTAGGAAACCCTTCAGCAGTCAGTTTTTACAACAGATAAGTTCTCTCTGAGTTTTTATTCAATTGCGTTCTTCTTCTTCTTCTTCTTATTTTTTGAATTATGTTTACCTTAGCCATGCGAGGCTAAGAACCTTTTAATCAACCTAAGGGTAATGGATTCCATGGATTAGTCTTGAGGATCTGCGTTTTTCAAATCAGTTTTGTTTCCCCTCCCAACTCAGATTGATATCGTGCGATCGTGGATATTCAATCTGAGGTTCGCGATTGCGATTATGAAAAGGAATTAATCATCAGATTTGATGATTAGGTTAATTGACCCTATGACCTTAAATCAAGCGGGCTGATACTCTGCGATTGTATGAGTAGAAGCATGTCTTTGATCAAATGCTAAGCGATCGCTTAGAGAGGGTTGTCAATTGAAAATAAGGATTCTGATTCGATTGACAAATCAATCACGATTCTGATATCCTCTTATCTGAGGAAAGACGTCCATGGAACCCAAACCTTAGGTTGGTTATTTTTAATTACGAATTTTACATACAATTTTACATTCTGCCTTTTTAAATTATCAAACTGAAATCAAAACAAACCCCCCCTTTATTTTCTGTCATCATAAGCGATTTTTATCCAAACAATTTCCTTGAGAGACTTAGGGTTTGCACTTTACTACAAAAATTTTCTGAACCCTAAAGAATTAATTTTTAATTTGTGCGAGTTCGACAGCTCGTGTCACATCCTTCACGGATTCCCACCAAGATACAGACGAAATCCAACTCCTTATGTTCATAATGGTTCCTCAGTTAATGCAGTTCAAGGAGCCATTCAGAGAAATTTCCTTCTATGGATGTGATTCATGGTCAATACCAACAGATCCTCAACATGCTGCAGAAAAGCTCAATTACTGATACAACTAATGGTGGACCATCAACACATGTAGTCAATGCTGTTCATACTTGCAATTCAAAATTCAATAATTCCCTAGGTAATGATAAGTCCAAATGGATACTTGATACTGGTGCAACAGACCACATCACCTTCGATTTATCTCAACTATCTTCCATTCGCAAAATTAAGTCAATTTCTATAACCTTGCCCAATGGTTTAAATATCATAACCTGTATTTCTGGAAATGCATATATTTCTCCATTTCTTGTCCTAACAGATGTCCTTTTTGTTCCAGAATTCAATATTAACCTGATTTCTGTTTCAAAACTAACAAACAATAGTACATATTCCCTTATTTTTAACTCTTCCTCTTGTGTTATACAGAAGAAGAATTCAAATTACCAGACAATGATTGGTTTTGCTGAATGTCAAGATGGACTATATGTGGTCATGTCATCAAAAGAGCTGCCCAATATGTGTGAAAGAAATAAAGGGCCTTGTTATTCTTCTTGCACTTTTGTAAAAGTGTTACAGAACACATCCACAAATAAAAGTGCTGATTTCAACAGTAGCTGTAATAGGGATGTTTTTTATGTATCAATACTTTGGCACCGTCGGTTAGGTCATGTATCAAAATCAGTTTTACAACAAATGGCTATACAATTCCCTTTTATTCCTAACACTCATATTGATCCATGTGATATATGCCATTTAGCTAAACAAAAACAGTTGCCATTTTCTACAAGTGACCACACAACAAATGCAGTTTTTGAACTCCTCCATGCAGATTTATGGGGTCTATACTCAGTTAGCTCCATATATGGTCATAGATATTTCCTTACGATAGTTGATTATTACTCAAAGTTTACATGGGTATTTCTTATGAAAACGAAAGGAGAAACACGAAAGCATCTCCAAAATTTTGTTGCATACATCAAGAATCAATGGAACATATCTCTCAAATGCTTGCGTTCTGATAATGGAGTCGAGTTTATCATGACTGAATTTTTCTTGAAGGAAGGAATCACACACCAACGAAGCTGTGTTGAGACACCGCAGCAGAATGGCATCGTGGAGAGAAAGCATCAACACATACTAAATGTTGCTAGGTCTTTATACTTTCAAGCCAACCTTCCAAAACAACTTTGGTGCTTTGCCATAACTCATGCCATCCACATCATCAACCGTACATGCAGCCCAAAGCTAAAAGACAAATCCCCTTATGAAATCCTACACAATAGCCCACCTTCATTGAACTTCTCCGAGTATTTGGATGTTTGGCCTATGTCTCCACCTTGACTGCACACAGATCAAAATTCTCTCCACGTGCACGTAAGGTAGTATGCTTAGGTTATCGCATGGGTACCAAAGGATACTTACTCTATGATATTTCATCTAAAGACATTTTCATTTCAAGAAATGTCTTTTTCTATGAACACCACTTCCCTTTCCATGTAAACATAGACAGATCATCCCAAACCAGCTTACCTCTACCCAACATCATTCATGATCACACCACTGTACCAAACACTAATACAAATCAACCTAACCCATATCCAAATAATCAAAGCCCAAAAATTGTCCAAGTCGATGACACTCCAAACACTTCATCCAATTTATCTCTGCCACGTTTGCAAAACTCTCAAACTGATGGTGACAACAATTTAACAGATGTTGATCGGCATGCTTCTGATTCCTCCACACTACCACGTCGTTCTTCACGCATAAGGGTACCTCCACATTATCTTGAAGACTACCACTATAGTTTGTTTGTCGTTCACTCTACCCAATCAAGTCTAGGTAACATTTCTTCTTCTTTTATAACTCACCTATTATCAAATGTTATTTCTTGTAACTCTTGCAGAGAAGCTTATAAACATTTTTGCTTAAATGTTTCCACACACACTGAGCCCTCCTCATTTTCCTAAGCCATTAAACACGAAGAGTGGCGCAATGCCATGAATTCTGAACTCTCTGCTTTGACCTTCAATAATACATGGTCCATCGTTGATCTTCCTGATGGTAAAATACCCATTGGTTGTAAATGGGTATACAAGATCAAATATCGTTCTACTGGAGAGATTGAAAGGTATAAGGCTCGTTTTGTAGCGAAAGGGTTTACCCAACTTGAAGGTGTTGACTACTTCGATACCTTTTCACCAGTAGCCAAAATGACTTCCATCCGTGTTCTTCTTGCCATAGCTGCAAGCAAAGGCTGGCTTCTTGAACAGTTGGACGTTGATAATGCGTTTCTCCATGGTGACTTGAATGAGGAAGTTTACATGACCCTTCCTCAAAGTCTCTCTATTTCCAAGCCCAACCAAGCATGTCGTTTAAATAAGTTTCTATATGGTCTTAAACAAGCCAGTCACCAATGGTATAGTAAACTCTCCTCGGCTTTGGTTTCTCTTGGTTACATTCAAGCCCAAGAGGATCATTCCATGTTCACGCTTCAATCTGGCGACTCATTTATAGTCCTCTTAGTCTATGTGGATGACATTGTACTGTCAGGGAATTCTGCCTCCGATATTCGTCGTGTAAAGGAGTATCTCCACTCTCAGTTTCGCATTAAGGATTTGGGTTCACTCAGATATTTTTTGGGTCTTGAAGTATCTCGCACTACCCGTGGCATTTTGCTTAACCAACGCAAATATGCCCTTGAAATATTATCTGACACAGGCTTTCTTGCTGCTAAGCCTTGTACCACGCCTATGGATAGCAATGTTCAACTTAGTAGAACCATCGGCTTACCTTTATCTGATGGTTCTTCATACCGTCGTCTTGTTGGCAAACTTCTCTATCTCACCACTACTCGTCCGGATTTATGTTTTGTCGTTCAGCAACTGAGTCAATTCGTTGCTTCTCCTCTTGATACACATCATCATGCTGCTAATCGTGTTCTACGCTACATCAAGAGTGCACTAGCAACTGGCATTTTCTTTTCTGCTCGCGAAAATCTTCAAATTCATGCATTTGCCGATTCTGACTGGGCATCATGCCCTGATACTCGCCGTTCAGTTTCAGGCACGTGTATATTTATTGGATCATCTCTTGTAACTTGGCGGTCTAAGAAACAGTCAATTGTATCTCGTTCCTCTTCTGAAGCAGAGTACCGAGCATTAGCCTCCCTCTCATGTGAGCTCCAATGGCTGAAGCATTTATTTCAGGATCTTCATCTTCCTTGGGATAAAGCTGCTTCGGTTTTTTGTGACAACCATTCAGCCATCTATCTGGCTCATAACCCAGCCTTCCACGAACACTCCAAACATATTGAAATAGACTATCATGTTACTCGAGAAACGAATCCAATCTGGTCTTCTCTGTTTGCTTCCGGTGTCTTCTTTTGCATAGTTGGCCGATGTTTTTACTAAACTGTTGGCTATCAGATCATTTCAATCAGCCACTTCCAAGTTGGGCCTCCTCAATATACACAGCCCATCTTGCGGGGGGTATTACACCAGAATAAAGATCAGCCCAAAGCCCAACAACAGTCCAAGCCCAAATTGATGGTCCAGAAACTTGATTCCAAAAATGCAGCTGATATAATACATACACGTGGGCAGAATCATGATAGAATAGTCAAGTAGTTAATTTTGTTAAATCAATTAGATAAGTTAGTTTTTATTTCCCGCTAATTACGGTATTCAGTTTTGATTAGAACAGTAGCAATGACATGTATATATATCTCTGTAAGCTTCATTGCTTGCTTAATGAGAATTCTGCAGATTTTTTTACTCAGAGCACAATGCTCTTTATCTGCGTTTCTTGCTTTCTCAATATATGTAACTATGTCAGTTTACAAAGACATTTATTCTCCATAGAATGGGTGAAAATAACAGGACATGATTCAACTTCTTGTTAACTTGATTAAAGTTAAACATATAGGGAGCTACCTTCCATATTAGCGTCTAAGCTCACCTTTGCCATCTTCCTCATTAGTAATTCAGCCTTGTCTCTAACTCTTGCGGAACCCCTCACAGAAATATCAGCTAACACAGTTGAGAATTCTGGTAACATCAAAGCCTCAGTGACACAGTCTTCACTGTCATCAAAAAGGCGAAGAAGGATATCAGCAGCACCCTCCTTGCTCAACAAGGACCTCCCTTTCAACACACTTAACATTGAACTAATTATCTTATCAGTTTTCTTCAAACCATTTAACCCTTCATTGAACCTCGCAAGGAGACCAAGAACAGTAAGAGACGTTCCAGCCAAGTCCTCATTATCAGTGTTTTGTACAACTCCAAGTAGCACTGGAACTGCACCAGCTCGCACAGCCAAAGTGCAATTCCCATGGAACTGAACAAGCTCAGCCAAAGAACTCAAAAGGTGGTGGGAATCAGAGTCACGAGAGCTTTCAATAGCATGAACAAGAAACTGAACAGTACCTGCAACCCCAAATTTGGCTTTATTTTTATCAAGCATGGCCAAACTGCAAATCAATGAGGAGGCCAATTTGCAGGAATCAAGAGAACTTGATGGGCTAATGAGGGAATTAAGGTAATGAATGGTTTCCATATCTGCAAGAGACTGCTTTAGATCAGGATTAAGGGAAAGGTTAAAGAGGATCAACAAGGAAATCGTTTGGATAATGGGGGAGGAAGCATTTGTCAGTGTAGCTAATGTTGGGATTGCTCCATCTGTTTGAGCGAGCAAGGTTCTGTTTTGGGGACTGACCTTGGTGATGGAAGCCAGCGTTTGAAGGGCTTTCAACTGAGCTTCATGGGAGTCAGATTGAGCCAAGGAGAGACATTCACTAACGGTGTCAAAAAGACGAGATGATGACATGTTTTCTAGGCTTTTGATCCAAGTGTCCTTATGAATTTCAACCACAAGAGTTGTTGCCTTTTGAAGTATTTAAAATACTTGCTTAAACGTAAACTGTACATCTTTTATTATATAAATGAGGCAAACTGCAAACAGGTTACAAAAACGCAAATATGTGGAGATGATTTCAATGTTTTGTTAGCATTGGAAAATGCTCCACTTCTTTCTTAAGATCTTTGTCTGACTCTTAGGTGTCCTCGCACATTTAATCCATCTCTTCGTCCTTTCCACTTGGCAGGGAACGGGATTAGTGAATTAAAAGTTATATGCAGTGAACATTACACCCATGCAAATCCTAACTTATGCCGTTCCTTCTATTTAAATAACTGTAGGTATGATTAAGCACAAATTGGAGAACTCCACCACGACAGTTGCCAATTTAGTATCTTTTGGATAGGCTTTAAAAATACACTTTTAAATAAATAAATAAAACACAAAAATATTGACTGAAAAAAATACTTTAAAGACTTTTTTCCTGATTTGTTTTTCTTTCAAGAACAAAATTTTTGGCTTCCAAAAAAAAATTTCTTTTACACATAAGCACGAAATAAAACAAATAAAAAAATACTTTTTAAAAAAAAAAAATCCAATTGGACCGTTATATTAGTTGACAACAATGTCACTACGATATTAAAATGCAAACCATAGGACCAATAAGCTCTACAATCCTCTTGGCAATTATCTTGGTCATTGAGCACCAACGTGTTCCTATACTCCCCTACAACGGATGCCGTATACTGCTCATTTTTTTGGTATATTTTTTAAAGTGAGAAGAGGGTAGGTGGTGTCGGAAACAAATTGGTAATGCTTACCAAAATTTTATGAATTCAACATAACTAGGGCACCAACATCTGAGTCTCCAACTAACAAATGCCGAAAGAACCCCACATCTAAGGCTGCGTCCTAATATCACAAGTACCGTCTAACTTATTACAGTACTAGAATCTTTCAACATGCCATTCGCGGTCTATATAGGGAGGGGGAGGGGGAAGTGACATTCACGAATTCCAGCAAGCAAGCAAAACATGTGGAAGTTCAAAAATTAAAGCCTCCAGCTCATTAAAGGTGACAGTAACCCAAAACCCTATTTCACCTTTGGCCCGAGTAGGGAGAAACATCTCCATATGAGACCAGGCCTTTATTTCCATCTGGGCTTCTGGACGATGACCCTGACCGGTTGTCTCTGCTTGCTTTCCGTGGAGACACTGATTCCATGGACGACCTGGATTTTGAAGGACTCCTGCTCCGAGAAGATGACACCCGCCTATCCACACGAGGAGAGGGGCGAGATCGATAAGGCTCAACAGGGGAACGACTGCGAACTGGGCTACGGCTAGGGCTATATCGTCGAGCTCGATATCGTGGGCTGCGTGAAACAGATGGCGTCCTGCTCCTCCTGCTCCGGTACCTACGTAAAGATTTTCAACAAATCATTTAGGCCACTCAACACAGCGGCATAGGGAACTTAACAATAGGCAGTCTCAATAATAAATCGATTCATGATAAGAAATAAGTTATACGTCAGATACAAGATACATAGGGAGTGAGAATAAAAACCTTGGGGGAGTTCTTCCACGTGGTTGTGGGCTTCTGTAACGCCTAGGGGAATACCTTCTGTAAGTAGAATATCTGAGGACAGAAAGTGTGAAATGATTATTCTCACATTCAACTCTCAAAACTAAATACCACCTTAGCATGATGACTAATTAAAAACGACATACGACTTTACCTGTCACGGTCATTTCTTCCATTGTAGCGGTATGACCTCACAGGAGACCGAGAGGGGGTTCTATACCTTCTAGCATAAGAGTATCGTTCACTGAAACCTCTTCCCCTTCTGATACGTTTCGGCGAAGCATCAGGTGAAACACTCTTCGACACACTTCTCCCACGAGGTGTCCTTACCCTACGAACAGGGCTAGCACTCCTAGAATAACTGCGGCGATTGCTTCTACTTGGTGCACGGACAGGACTTCGGCTAATGCTCCGCTTTGAAAGGACCCTGCCAGAGCTTCTGCTTAAGCTTCTTGCAGGTGATCTAACTGGACTGCGGCTTACACTCTTTCTCAACACTCTTACAGGGCTTCTGCTGATTGTCTTTCGTGATGATGCTCTGGGAGAACTCCTGCTTCGCCTGCTTCGAGAAAGGGATCCTACGGGGCTGTCACTGACATTTCTAAGAGGACGAGCTCTCACAGGGCTTCCACTAACACTTCTCCCCCTCCTGCCCCCCATTGGGCTTCTACTGATGGTTCTGCTTGGACTCCTGCTGATGCTTCTAACGGGACTTTTGCTCAAACTCCTCCTTGACAGAGGAGAAGGGCTTCTAACACTTGGACCTCTGCTCAATCTCTTTTTTGGAGTAATACTTGGGCTCTTGGTCTCACTCCTACCAGGGCTAATACTCATACTCTTACTCATGGCTCGCTTAGGACTTATGCTTCGACTCCTGCTCATCAACTTTTAATAAATACCAGATGCGGAAGAAATAATAGGATAAGAAACAACGAAGGTGAGACAAAAGAGGACAGTTACCTAGATTTTCCCGAATGATCATCCATCACATCAGGCTGCCTCTCTTCACTTCTGTCAGATCTATAGTCAGCTCCAACGCCATTGCTATGCCGCTCTCCATTTTCCTTTGGGAACTTTTCCTCATTCTCTAGCAAACCCAATTCCTGCTCATTTTTATGATGTAAGGGAGGTACATCTTTCTCCACAGCTAAGGGAGAATTTATATCAGCTGCTACAAAATATGGTAGAAAAAATTGTGAAAAAAACAAGACATTATTCACACTGCCCAAAGAATTGAATAGCAAGACATTTATTTGGAACACTTAAATGACTTCAAAAGATACCTTTTTTCTCAGAATGATCTTTACGCTTCAGCCCTTTCCCTTGAGCATCAAGACTTTCACCATCAGAGCTACTGTCACTGTTACTCTCACTGTCTGAATCACTACCCAAATCCCTAATAACAGATGACAGACTCAGTGGTGACCATAAAAAAGCTCAAATTATAAGTGTGACTTGCTACATGTGTGGACATGTCCATGTTCACACAACAATGGTATAAGTGAGGAGAGTGCAAAGAAAACATCATTTACATGGAAAAGTAAAAAGATCCTACTCCTGACTCTTCAAATAAAGCATACAAAGTGACATGTCAAGAGCAATGAGTACAACTAAATACATATAGTAACTGCACTATTCATATAAATACACAAACCTCACAAACCTACCTCTTTCGTAACGTGTTTGCATACAAAAATAGTACAATAAACCCTACACAGGGCTGATTGACCAAAGTGATATACTTTTAAAAAAATTATTAAGTAATATAGTTTGAAAACTATTTACCAAGGCTATATAATTTGACCACTTTTGATTACTTTTGACCATTCAAAGCCCCACAAACATAACACATGCCCACTATGATCAAAAGTGGTCAAACTATACACTTTGGTAAATAGTTTTCAAACTATATTATTTTAATAATTTTATTAAGTATATCACTTCAATCAATCAGCCCCCCAACGCAACCATCTTGATCTAACGGCTATTTCAAGTTCATAAAAACAAACTAACAAGCAACAAGGATAGATGACTGAAATCTGAAACTCATAAATCATAGCCAAAGGTGTAATCAATATTGATTACCGTCTTGATTTACGCTTTGATCTCTTATCCCGTCTCCTTCGTCTCTTTTCACGGCGTTTATCTCTTCTTTTTCCACGTCTACGTTTATCTTTCCTAGATCTCTTTCTCTTTCTTCGCCTATCATCACTGGAGGAACTTATATAAGATGATGAGGACATATCTGACTCAGAATCACTATCAGTTTCCGAAGATTCCATCTCTGAATCTGAAGAACTGTCTGATTCAGATGAGTAGTATCTTCTCCTTTTCCTTCTGTCTTTTGAAGATTTTTTGTGCTTTCCCTTCCTCCGTGCTTCATGACTATTGGCTTCAGAAGATCCATCCCTTCCTATTTTTGATTTATTTACCTTCTTCCCATCTATAAATATAAAGATTCAAATCAAGAGATCAAATATATTTGAAAATTAAATACTGGGCCAGAACAGAGCACATTCAATTGAAGAAGAAAAACAAACACAAAATACATTATGTTCCAGCATTTAAAAAGTTGTAGACAGAAATTTCTGTAAGATTATTTGGGATTTAATAATCATCTTTCGTATTAGGAGTAGAACAAAATATTATTCAAAATGAGTTAAGTGATTCTCACCTTCACTATATTCACCACAATTAATAATTTTAACAGTTACTGTTGGATGTCCTTCTTCATCACCAACATCTTCAATTTTCTTCAATACAGCATGTCCTTGCACAAGATCCCCAAAGACTACATGCTTCCTGCAAAATGATAGCACAAATGAATAATCAGGCAATTTGTATCCCCCACCCCACACAAAAGAAACAGAACATGAGTAAAAAGTTAAATGCCACCAATTAAACAGATACACAAACCTATCAAGATGATGATCAGCTTTCAAAGTGATAATAAAATGAGAACCAAGAGTGTCACGGTCAGCAATTGCCATCGATAGAAGCCCTATCGAATCATGCCTTAGCCTAGGTGACTCATCTAAAATCAATCACAAATACAAACTACATAAATATTTGAGATATAACCATAGCACAAAGAATTCATTCAGTAGAATATGAGCTTATGAGCATGACTTAGCATTCTTACCTGGGAACTTCGAACCATATATGCTTTCTCCACCAGTACCTACAAAACATGGGAAAATGTGACGCAGGGATTACAGGAGAACCAAGAGGGGGGAAATAATACATCAAGGAAAATTATGAAAAATGCACTTGAGCCTACACTAAACAGCTAGCAATCATAGTAATATTTAAGAATTCAGAAACGCCACCAGAGGTACAGTATTTTATCAGCTACAATACTTTCCAGTCTTAAAAAAAAAAATACAGGCACCCACTAATCAAGGTTTATTAAAAATTAACATATTCACAGATATTAATATCAATATTAGCAATATCAAAACTAATTCAAATTACAAATCAAATAGCTTTAATACCTCCACTCAATAACAGGTCAATCTGTGTTCATGTAAAGGAACTTTGTTAATCATGTTCCTAATTGACTTAGAAAAGAAATTACCATTGTCACAGGAAACATGCAAATGGAACAAGGCTTGCAACTCGGACAACTGAATGATCAAATAATAAAAACATAAAGAAAGTGACTACATATATTGTATCAAATTGCAACCTTCAAAAAGTGTATAGGTAACTCATAATGGGAGGCAATGCATCAATTAATACGTACCATTTCGATTGATAAAATCACCACCCTGTAAAAGCAAAACCAACCATTAATACGTATGCATAACAACACTGAATAATGCATACAAAACGGGCTTGGGCATCCTGAAGCTTATTATAATTACGAGATGAATTACTTAGTAAGTACAACCTTAAAACTATATCACAAGAAAAGCAGTCGTGACCATCAGCCCTGTATCCTACAGCATAAACAATGGTAACAGGGACCACTACTAAGCCATGTTCAACCATAATGAGAAGACATATATATAGAACACTGCCTTGGAACAATCTAGATATAAGAATAAATACACAACATACCTGCACATATGAGCCTTTTATAATTCGATGGAAGAAAGAACCCTTGTAGTGTAGTGATTTTCCAGTATTTGGACTGACACCTCTTTCTCCTGAAAGAGGGATGAACATGTCACACAAAAAGGGAGGAACCGGTGGCTTGTTGATTAGATTGACAATCTTTAATCAAATTATCCAATTTCAACCAAAGGCAAGAACAATATTTTTAAGCAGGCAAAGTACATAAACAGGTCCAGGAACATGTTCTGTTGCTGGATAAGTAACTGTGACTGTAGAAAATGAAAGTTTTGAAAGGGAGAAGGAAAGATGCACTAAACAAAAGTCAAAATTGGAAAAATTTCTCATTCAAATCAAATTAATAATACCTGTACATAATGCACGAAAGTTTTCAGCAGTCTTGGGAGCATAATCATAGAAGAGCTGTGAGGGCAAGATGATCACTCGTTAGGTAAAATAATGCAAAAATTGCAGCATAAATACTAAATATAAAGGGGGAAAGTACCTCAAAAACCATCCTTTCAACAGGATCCCCATCGATCGACACATCCATAAAAACCAGGGGATTCTTGTTCTTTCTCATTGTCTTTGTCTTATTAATCAAAATTTAAAATAGCAACAATTGACCTGAGGTAACAAATCATTACTAAACAAACACCAATTATTCTTGGATCTGAAGTAACAATGCATCAATAAGGGGACAAAGATTAATTCTAGTTACATATCCAAAGTACCGAACAGCAGTTTCAAGCTAGACAAAATAATTTTTCCAACATCTACATGAATTCATGTCAAATTTAAAAGACAGACAAATATGGGCCCTATGGAACAATAGTAACAGGTAATTATAGGTATCCACACCCAAAGCTAGTGCAGTAACAAGTTAAGCATTGCACTGTGGCTCTATCAGTATGCTAGTATAAACCTTAATTTTCTTCCAACGTCGGGACACAAACAGTGTTCAAGTCAACCCACCAGAGTGAAATAGGGATTTGAAAAACAATATATATATATATATATATATATATATATATATATGATTAAAAAAGAACCGTTTCGGTTCGTCTCAATCTCAGACATCAAATCCTAACCAAGCCCATCGCCACAATCAACAACCGTTGATGATGAAATCCAGAAGAGAAACGGCAAAAGTTTCCAGTAAAACGTAGGAAGTTAAGAAATCCAGATCGGAAAGAAAATATTATACACAGTATCAAAGAAATTAGCAAATAGTAAGGTAGCAAGCGTTTAACATAAACCAACGAATGCAGTTAGAAGCATCAAATTAAGCAGCAAAGCTAAAACCCTAGCTAGATTCCCGGAAAAACCTCAGAGGAACAGAGTTATAGATAGATCAGTGCTAGGTTCGATTTAAATAATAAACAGAGGCGTTGTGCACGATGTACAAGGATTTACCAGAAGAGGTGAAGAACCAGCTCTTACCGTATAAACGTTTCCTTGGAGATGATGAGAGATGAAAACCTAGGCTTACATGAACGCAGGTTTATAAAGGAGCCGAGTCTAGCTGATTCCAGTGGAGTATGAAATTACCAGACTATCCATGCTATCGGTAACACGTTGGTGGGTCAGTGATGATGATTTGTGGGAAAATGGCTAATAGACAAATGTGACCCTTCTCGGCCTCCCATAGTCAAAGCGGCGTCGTCTCGTTATATAAATTTTATTTCTACCAGTTTATATATATATATATAGATATAGATATAAATAAAAATAAATTGTAAATATAATGTTGCTCGTATAATATAATGTTTATAAAATATTATAAACAAAAATAGATTATAAATATAACATTGCTTGTATAATATTATATATTCTACCAATTAGAAATGTATTGTCATGCTTCAAATTTTGAACTACAAATAGATAGTTGATTTTACGAAATAAAATCACACGTAAAAAAAAAAAACATTTTAAGTTGAATATTATTTTTTAGCACATATGTTATTAGGTTTAATTTTTCTTATATTATAGTAGATAAATTTATCTTTTACATGTATATAAAAATATGTAAGACTCGTTTTTTTCTCTCTTTTCTCCTCAATTGGCTTACATGGGTCCACTTTTATGTGTAATATATTTCCTATAACATGATAAACATTAAATTCATAATTATTATATTATTTTTATTTTCAAACTGAATTTTTATCATCATAACTCACCCAAAATTTTCCAACTTAATTCTCTTAGTGAACCTTGTGTTTCTTATTTTTTAAAAAGTTATATTTCTTGTAACAATATTTCCTTAAATTATAATCATTATTATTTTTATTTATTTACTATTATATAATCACCGTTGATTTTTTGATTTTTTTTGTAAAATAGTTGTTAATTATTATATATTTATAGTTATGCGCAAGGAAATATCGATTAAATATTTTGCTAAATTTTTTTTCTTGTCTATCTTTTGATATTTTACAAAAGTAACTAAATCATGGTAGTTCAGTTGGCGCATGTGAGTTAAAGTAATGGGGTGAAAGTATATGTTCGATCCTTCAAATATTATTTTTGGGAGGAGTTTCAAGCCTTAATTCTAGATTCGCCCCTAACAAAATTGTCTTCCGTAAAAAATATATGTGATTTATAAAATAAAAATAAAAAGTTCCATTCGTGTCATTCTTAATATGATCTATCGTAAACAGATTAAATACATCAAAATTGATTATCACTTACTCATAAACAATAACAAGGTGCTTTTGCATTGATCAAAATAGTCTCTAAGCATCAATTTGTTGATTTATTCACTAAGAAATAATCAGTTCCACTCTTTATTGCCCAAGTTAGGCATTGGGAATCCTCATGCTACAAAAAGAGATAATTTTGGGTTCCCTAAATAATATCTCCCAAAGTCTTTTTATTCTGAACAATATTATTTGTTTTTATTTCTTTATTCATTTTTTTGTAATTTGTCGTTATTTTATTTTATTTTTGGGTAGATACTTTGATACCAAATATTAACCGATGATTTTCGTTAATTTAATGATTATAATTTATTGGGTTATACTTATTATTTAATTATCAATTCATAATAAATTATAATCTTCAGATCGATAGAAATTAACGATTAATATTTGATGTTAAATTTTTTAGTTTGATAGCGATAACAAATGATTTTATTCCTTATTTATTTCTTAATAATGCTTAAGGAGAAGGAAATATTAACAGGAACTCATTTGGATGTGAGTTTAAAAATTACTTTTTAGGCTATCAACAAAAAAACTTTTTATACATTAATTTTTTATAATGAATATTTTAAGTTAAAAATATTGTGTATTTGGATGTAAATGTTTGACCCGAGTTAATTTTACCTTAAAAAAACTACTTAAATTTAAAACTAAACTTAAGAGCATAAAAATAGGTTTTTGACCCTTTTGCCCCTCATTAATTAATTAATAACCAATTTGCCCCTGATCCAGAACTATCCACCAACCTGCCCCCTTTTAGTCGACTACCTTGCTTTTTTAGTCGAGCAAATGGTCAAAATTCATAATGTGGACTACATGAAATATAGTCGACTAAAAAAGCACCTTGATCGACTACATTTTTGGGATATTTAGTCAACTAAGGCACGATATTTAGTCGACTAAATATCGACGGATTTGTTTTTAAAAAACCCCTCATTCGGTAGAGGGGTGTAGTGAAACCTAATCGACTAAGGAGAGCCCCAAACCCCAAATCCGCAGGAGCAGCTGAAGAACGCCCCAAACCCCTCCCCCAGGCGTGTGGATTGCACCAAAATCACGGTCCAAATCGTGAAATCTCAAGGATAGGTAAGGTTTCTTAACTTGCATTGTGTTTTAGGTTTTGAAATTTTTTTTATTTGTTTGCTATCCGAATTTTTGAACCCTAATCAAATTTTTTGTTTTAGGTTTTGTAACCCTAATCTACTAAGGTTTATTTTTTTGCATTGTGTGAATTTTTTGTTTGAAAAGTTTGTATGTGGGAAAAGTTTGCTTTTGGTTTACAGCCCTTATGTTGCAAGTTTTCATTACCATCATGACATGTTTCATATAGTTAAATGCTGACATGTTTCATTGTAGGTACCCTAAACAAATGACGGGCTGCAGAAGACCAAGCGATGAGGGTAATGAGTCACTTGAGAGACGCACCAAGCATAGGCAAGACCGGCCTTCTTCGTCAAGGCCACAAGACGAAGAGCCTAACATTGTTGACCTCCCGTATGGGTACCTGTTTGAGGACGACCCTGCCGTCCACCCAAGTATTTCCATTCTTCGGCAACAATGCCCTCACATACCAGGGACATCCATCATTATGGTGTCGACACTTCATCACAAATCTATGGTCATCACTTTTTGCCACAACGGCAGTACGGTGAGCCTTCATACAATATAATTTGACTGCATGTTGCATTTCAGATTTGCTACGAAACTCCTGATACAAATATAAAGGATCCCCTAATTGTCAGCCACCGTGATCATCATCGTCACCATACAATATCTTCGTATCATCATTAGGATGGGCCCAATTAATGAAGGAATAATGTGAGCTTTCATTCCAAAGTGGCTCGACCTCAGAACCTACGGATGCATTATAATGCCACCGTCAATACCATTCATAACAAAAAAAATAATTGCTAAATTAAATCTTTAAAAAACGAATCTTACCACTGCTAACAGGGTCAACACGAAGTGGTCTCGTAACCTGCAAACCCGGGGATGGTGAGCTTGTGTCTGCATCGAAATCACCCTCTACGTCAGTATCTGACGTGTCACCTAGCGGAATAACACTCTCAGGTTCACTGTCCTCATCGCTGTCCATATCAGCATCCTGCTCATCCTCATCTATTTCCCGCAGTGTTATATGACTTATGACAGGTGCAGGTGCAGATAAATCGACTACTCTTTTTTCATGACCAAAATACGGTTCACTTCTTGTATGCATGGATGCAGATGAAGATTGACCACAATCTAATTCAACATATATCTCAATAAAATTTTGAAATTTTCGGTCAACAATTGCATCTATGACACATTCGACATCTTCATCATCACATATATCGTTACCAATGTAGTAAATAGCATCCTTACCAACTGTAGTCTCTACCTTGGCAATCATCCGTTGAACGCATTGGCTGCCTTGCAGACCCAATTTTTGTTGAATTCTCCCTTTTAACTCATTGTATGTAGTGCCCCGTTTGATTTTCAATATTTTCGTTTTTCCTTCAAATTGAACACCATTGGGGCCTTCATAATGCTTTCCATCATAGTAGATCATTGCTACATACATGTTTGAACTTGTGCTCATCTTCCTCACGAAATTGGGACTAGGGTTCTGAAATTGGGGGTTTGGGTTCGGATTTTAGGGGTTTGGAATTGTGCAATGACAATGATTTCACAATATTAGGGCTGTAGAGATGGTGGGATGAAATACAATCGGATTGAGAGGATTACACATGAACAAAGGGAGCTATTTTGGTTTACACAACAACAACAATCGAAATGAGACCGAAAACATGGAAAATATAGGGTTTCAGTCGATATTTAGTCGACTAAATATCCCAAAAATGTAGTCGATCAAGATGCTTTTTTAGTCGACTATATTTTGTGTAGTCCACATTCTGAATTTTGACCATTTGCTCGACTAAAAAAGCAAGGTAGTCGACTAAAAGGGGGCAGGTTGGTGGATAGTTCTGGATCAGGGGAAAATTGGTTATTAATTAATTAATGAGGGGCAAAAGGGTCAAAAAGCCATAAAAAATAGCTAAACTATTTGATGATTATATACTTTTTTTTAATTTACAATTTAATTATAAGTTCAAGAATAAAGTGTTTGATAAAAAAAATTATGTAAACAAATTTTCTAATTAAAATTACCATCAATAATTATCAGTCTCTGTATTACTTGTTAAGAATAGTGTTAAGGCCTGTTTGGTGCACCAGATAAGAAGGATGGAATAATTTATCATATCATATTCTTATCTGTTGTTTGGTGAGACCAAGGAATAAGAAAAGCTTATCATGTTCACTTATTTTATCCTATTAGAGACCTGATAAGTTATCTTGTGGGAGACTCTGGGTTTGAATCGAATCGGAGAGGATAGGGGAAAATAGATTATTTTACTCAAAAACAAACCCTCTTTTCTCTCATACCCTAGTTAACTCTCAGCCAACCTTGTCACCGGACAATCCCCATACCCTAAAAAAGCCCCGCCATCGTTAGCCTCGGCTATCAGAACACCTCACTGGTTAGCCTGGTTCGGTCTGACCCAGGTTGTCTCCTCAAGTTTCCAACTTTGCTATCATGTCCAGCCTGTCGTTGAAGCTCTGGCGGAGCGGGCCATAACGGTGTCATCGGTTTGGAAGATGAAGCGGTTATTCAACGTAGGGTCGGAGAAGAAGTTGAAATAAGTATGATGTTTGACCGCTTGCTTTGGAAGGCTTATGTTTTTGCAAATAAAATATTTGCAGATAAAATAAAAAAAATGCATATAAGGATATGGAAATAATCGATCCTGATGATGATTTTGTTTAGGTTCATGACTATCACTTGATGGTTTTGCCTACATTCCTGAGAAAGTGGTATAATCGAGTTAAACTTGGATTATTTCTTCAACGTAGTGAACGACTTAGCAGAAAAGATGATAAAGCAAATAACGGAAATGGAAATAGGGTTCCCTTAACATAATGGGTTCAGTAAATGACAAGATATTAACACAATGGGTTCAGTAAACGACAAAATATTATCTGGGTAGAAATCGGTTCATGGGTTCAACTAGAAATTTGTTTATAAATCTGGGTAGAATGTTTCTCGTTAGCAAAATCCCCAAATAAAAAAAAGGACAACAAAAGAATAATAGACCATACAGGGTATTTTTGTAAGGGATACTTTTGTCAATATTTATCATATCCTAATATTATCTGGTCACTGCAAACCAACGTTATTAAATCCGGACCGGTGATCGACCCGGTCGGGGTACCGGGTCAGTGGGTCACTGGTTCAACCGCATGAACCGGATATATATATAAATTTATATTTTATACTTAATTATATAATAAATATTTTAAATGGTGCAAGTGAATTAAGAACCAAATGTAGTCTAGTGGTAAAGACTATAATTTATATCTTCATAACAAGGGTTCGATTCCCACTAAATGTTATTTTGAAATAATTCTATTAACTGATAATATATATATATATATATATATATATATATATATATATATATATATATATATATATATTAAATGGTGCATAATAACCAACAAACAAACTCAGCCCGGTGGTAAGTTATTGTTGGGCATTCTCATGAGACTCGAGTTCGAATCCCAGCGGTTTCAACATTGAAAATATTTTTCCGAAAACCGGTTTGAGCTATAAAACCGTTTCACCGGGTCGATCGCTTGTCCGGTCCATTGCAAGAATCAGACCGGTTGATGGGCCGGTTTCTGGGTCAACCGGTCAGAATCTTACTCTTAGTGCCTGTTTGGATCCTCTCTTTTTTAAGCTAAAAGCTATTTATAAGCATAAGCTAGGCCAAACAAGTTTTGAGAAAAGCTCTTATAATGAAAAGCTATTTTTTTATAATGAAGAAAAAAGCTGAAAACTAAAAGTTCCTAGGAGGAGCTTTTTTTTAAGCTCTTATCTGTTTTTCTTGAATTGTAATATGTGCTTTTAAGTAAATTTTAAGCTAAAAATTTTATGTAATTTCCAAACAGCTTTTAGCTTCTTTTTTAAGCTTTTTTTTAGCTTTAGCTTATAAGTAGCTTCTAGCTTAAAAATAAGAGGTACAAACAAGCTCTTAATATAATTTTATCATAGGATAATGTAATTTTATCAGACTCTTAATCCAGTGCACATCAAACACATGATGTAATATGTGCTTATCTGGTCAATATCATTTCCTATCCTTATTCAGCCCTCTTATCCTATTTGTCTTTATCCTATCATGTCCACCAAACGCAATATTTCATTATATTTTCTTTCCTTTTTTGTTTGTAAACAATATTTTCTTTCCTTTTATTTATATAACTAGTGAATTACCCGTGCGTTTCACGGAGGAAAAAAAATCGATTTGTTTGTCTCGTAAGAACTAACGCAACACATGCAAGATGCCGAACCTACATTTTTTATCCTTCAGTATAAAAGGAATGAATGAGTAATAATGTACAAATGAAAGTATGAAAGAAAAAGGCACACGAACAAATGAGTACAAATAAAAACTGTCATAATAATACCTCCATATATTCATGACGATGGAATATTGTTTGTTCAAAAATAGCAGTTAGCAATATACCATGTGTGTATGAAAAATGATTCCTGCATGAGTAGAAAAGGTTAGCAGTTAAAAAAACCAAACGGTAACGAAAATAAGTAAAAAAACACTCCATTGCCATTTTTTTTGTCTTTACCTGTACCAAGCAGTGATGTTATGTCATAGTAGACAGAAGGAAATTCACGACATTAATCTTTGAAATACTTCCTTGTAAACTATATTAAGGGTATTATTTGTGACACAACTGTTTTCATCAAGTATCAATATCTTCAATCCACGCTTGCTCTTTAATCTAGACAGTACCACATATAATTGCCCATGAGTGAAGACAGGTTTGGGGAGATAAATTGCACATGAGAAAGAGATTGTCATTGGCTCTTATTGATAGTCATGGCAAATGAAACAATCAGAGAGAATTGTCTTCTTTGGAAGTTTATAGGAAATGTGTGACTTGATGGGCTCATCGTCATTCTAGGGATTAACACAGTTTCACCTATATTGCTTCCTGTAAGAACAATTGCCTGAACAACATGATCCCCCAATTTTGTAATGAGCAGCCTTGTGCCATTGCACAAACCTCTGGACTGATCAATATTTCTCAATAGCATTACTAGAACTTTAACCTTCAAGGTTAATTTATGATCAGGAATCCCCGAACACGATAATGTATTTAAGATCTCAGGTGTGAATTCATCATCTTCAACAGAGGAAGCCACATCTTGCTTCAGAATTTTATGAGAACTCAAAAATATCCTTTCTTCACCAGGAATCATCGACATCAGGTGCTCGTTCAGCATAGCAACATCGGACAATTTAGGAGTTAAGATAACACGTTCTTTGAAAAACGTTGGATCTGAAATATTATCCAAGAGATTCGGATAAACAAAATTAACCATATCTGAAACGGGATCATCTGATGCTGTAATCAACAATTCATCTAGAATTGTTATTATAGATTCTCCATCTTCATCATCTCCAAGATCACCATCCCCAACTTTAAGGAGCCACTCAAAAAATTCTCTTATTTCCTTCACATCATCAATGGTACTTCCAGAATTAAGACGCATGTTCTTGGTCAAAGTTAATAAATGACAATAGGACCATAGATGAGAAGAATTTATGGTTGCATTTACTGTCTCCTGTCTGCTGCCGTGAGGAATGACAGGTAATATTTGCCGAAAGTCACCGCCTAGAACTACAATTTTTCCACCAAATGGCATATCAAGGCAGCTCGTGTCAGAAAATCTAAGAACATCTCTAAGTGTTCTATCCAGAGCCTCAAAACAAAATCTATGCACCATTGGTGCTTCATCCCAAATGATTAACTTCGTTTTAGACAGCAACTCTGCTATAGTAGAATTTGGCTTGATGTTATACGTTGAATCCTCATTGATCTGAATAGGAATACGAAATCTAGAATGTGTTGTTCGTCCTCCAGGAAGAAGAAGGGAAGCAATTATGCTAGAAGCAACATTAAGTATTATTTCAGCTTTTGATATAACAAATGCTGAAAGAGTTCCAAATAAATGTTTTCCTGTACCACCAAATCCATATAGAAAGAATAACCCTCCTTTACCTGGTGTAACTGCCGAAATGATTTTGTCATATACAACTCTCTGCTCATCAGTGAGGGAATTCAATAGTCTTTCATGCTCTTCTCCCAATGAAAATGTGCCATACATTAATTCATCAACCACTAATCTATTCTGCATATCAAACAACGATTCCCTGGTGATGTGAGGCATTGACGGGTAATCAGAGAGGCATTTACCATTGCTCTGCAGCACCTTATCAATTTCTGCATGTGTTATGTTTTTTATACTTTCTTCGGTAAGAAGCGCATCTAAAAAAACCATAAAATACAAAGGAAAAAATAGTTAAAAATAACAAAGAGAAAGATATAAAGAAAAGAACAAAACCAAAATAAATAATAAAGCAACATATGCTGAATTATGGTAAAAAAATTGCGAAATAAACAGTAATGCAACATATACTAATTTAAGTTTTTAAAAAATATAAATGCGTTAAATATTATCACAACACGTACCTTGAAGCCCTATTCTTTTCCTATGGTGATAAAGAACATCGTCGGATAAAAATTTCCAACACTCTTCCCAAACTTTTTCAGGCCTGTTCATTGAGTTGGCAAATAACAATAGAGCAAACAAAGATCTAAGATAAGCAGCAGAACCCCATGAATTTGCCTTTTTAATTGCATCAATATACTCATTGTCATCATCTAGAAGTCCTAAAGAATAGCAGACATCCTTAAATGTAGGAAAAAGCACGCCATTGATTGTTTTAAGATCTTCATAACTGGTACACCCTCTTTGAAAATTAAGCAACGTGCAAAGATAGGAATCTTCTCCATTATTGGCAGAAAAATGATTTATTCTCCCAATTGAAAATCCCATTTTTCTAGGATTCCATTCATGAGTTTGGTTTTTGTAAACAAATTCAGTCGGGTACTCTGCATAAGTTAGATGCCTACCTTCTGGATATTTTTTATTTGCATCCATCCAAGACTCAAAGATTGATAGTCTGGACTCCGCCCTTGTCTTGACATCAGAAAATGAAGCATTATCACTGAAAATAATGTTCTTTTCATTGGGCAGATGAAATGGCAATCTCTGAACAGGGGGGTACCTGGAATGAATGTCAAATCCAAAAATTCTCCAAGCAACTTCACATGCGGAGACATACCTATAATAAATAAATAATTAAAACAACAAAGTTGAAAGATCATGAAAAAAAAACGTGTTGATTTTTGGGAGAAGCAAAATAAGATAAGAGAAAATTTTGAGTACCTGTAGTCATAAAACATTTTGATTCCATCTTCTATGTGATGTACGACAGCTGTTACTCTATCATTCCCTTTGTGAATGTATTTAAAAAGATATTTAATAGCACTTCTCTGGCAAGTATATTCAACATTGATATGAGCCTGATACTTTAAAAGAAGTTGTGCATTATATGGCACAATATAACGATTATCAAGTTCAACACCATTTTTGTTCACAACTCTCGCATCATTTCTTCTTTTGTAATGAGGGAATCCATCGTCATCAATAGAAGTACAGGAACAGAAGTTTTTTGGAAAAAAATTTGAACACCGTCCGTCCTTCATGCAAGGAGATTTGTAATTTTCAGGACCACATGGACCATGTATCATGTAATTTGTGACAGCTTGAAACAGCAAAGGATTAGAATCCTTGTCAGGAATTTCCGCTGAAATCAATTTATCAATATCAAAAGCACTTTTAGGCTTGTTTGAAGGGTGCAAGAATAGCAGAATATGAGCATGAGGTAGTTCGCGCTTTTGAAATTCGATTGTACAAACATCTGTTACATTAACCAAAATACAACAGAAATAATTATTAGAAAATAACAATGTTATATATAGATTTCTTGCATGTCATGATAAATTCCCTTTAAAAATTGATTTAAATTATGAATAAAAAATAAATAAGTTTAGCATATACTTACATGCAATAACTTTACCAAGAACATTTTTTTTCCTCAAATCATGTAACATTTCGTCTAATTTGAACTTGAATACTCTGCATAGAATATCAGGCCTATCTTCAGGGCTAAGCTGTCTAGCCTTTACAACTCGTGTGATTTCTGGCCACTTAGGATTGCAGGTAATTGTTATAAAAAGATGAGGATACCCAGCCCAACGGCAAATTGCAAAAGCATCTTTACAATTTTCAGCCATATATCTAGGTCCGCCTGTGAACGAAGTAGGTATAATGATACGCTTTCCAGTATTTACGGCTGCATCTTCACCTCTGTCAAATGAATGTTTTATATTTTTGTACAGCTCAGCTCTGAGATGACTCTGGTTATATCGAATGAAATTAAGCCGTTCAAACTCAATCATAGTGTACGCATCAACCAGGAATTGTTGGAAAAGTTTCTTTGATCGAAGGAGAATTTCTGACTCTCCTAATTGCATCTGAAGTCGAAAAGAAAAGAATTCCTTCATGCTGATAACAACTCTTGCATTAGTCCTACCACTGGACACGGAAATACGCTGGACATCGTTGCGATAACCGTCTTCACCGTATGGAAATAACAATGGATACTGCAAGCCAAGATATAATGGATGCTTCACATCGATGCGCTGCAGTACTCTATCTTGGGTCTCAATAATGATATCCCTATCACACATAGCACTGTCTATATCTCCAACAATCAAAACGGCAACTTCGGATGATGTCGGAAGATTATAAACTCTTTCATCACTACCACGCTTTCAAATAAGCCTCAACTTCACACCATTAAAGTCATCTTCTTTATAACGGTCTCTAGCGCACCGGAAAGACTAAGCTATACTGTTGTGCTTGTCCAACATCTGCTTCAACAATAGGATAATTTCGGGATCGAGCTTATCTTCAGTACTCGTGGAACTGCAAATATAATTACAAAATCAATAATTCGCTAATATGAAATAAACATAAAAATATAAACCATAAATGAACAATAACATTTTGTCAGAAAAGGAATATACCTTAGACAACCCAGTCTGTTGTCCACTTCATGGTCAGTATCATATATATACAGCTGAGCAAATTTTGGAGTCTGACTATCAGCTGGGAGAAGACTACCCATTAAATGATGAACTCGCCCCCCCAACTCTAAAACAGTATGGGCTAGAACCTTGATTTACTGATCCATCCACTTTTGCTCCAAAGGATGTGAAGGAAAAAATCATATTGTACGCTCTAATATTTCGCAAAAAATGGCGGCTCCTTGCATTTGAATTAACATACAATTGAAGCAAAGTATCTGGAGCAGCTTTCAATAAAGGAAGTTTAACTTTTCCATTGCCACATCATAAACTAAATTGTGGTGTACTTGGCTTACGATCCTTCTTATTTCTCTCTTCATACCACATGTTTGCTCCACAATGGTCACAAACAAAAGTAAGATCCCGAGCGTCCCAATATTCTAAAAAATTACAAAAAATCAAAAAGAAATGAAAATAAATACCATCATTGTTAGAAGTCGTGGTAGGCACATTGGAATTATTGATTTCATATCTGTTATACAAAGAAAAAATGGATTGAGAACAAAAAAAATACATTTCAATACCAATTTTTTTATGTATTTAAAGAAAAAAAGGTACAATAATCAAACACAAAGCAAGTAAATAATAAAAAAGTTTAAAATTAATACAAAGACCGTTGCTGATAGAAATCATATTTGGCATATTGGAATTATTTATATGCATATTTGCAACAACAAAAAATGTAAATAATAAAAAAGACAGCCCAACACGATTTTATTTTTCCAATATATTAAATTTAGCAATTGTGCACCTTCACTGGTAGAGGTAAGGTCTGACACATTCTGTCATTGATTTCAGAATCTGCAACAACATTGAGAAATTTAAAAAATGAGAAAAATAAAGTTTCATATAATGAATGAAGCAAATGGTCTCCATTTGTACTATAAGTAGGAATCAACAGAGTACATGTATTAATTTTTTTTATAACACATGGTTATATTGCATTTGACTCAAGGACGAATTACCTGTTAAGTCAAGCATCTTTGGTATATCGTTTATCGCTACACATTGCTTAGAGTTTTTTTTTTTAACCATTAATCCTTTCCGCCTAATTGTAGCATTTTGGCCAACTAAAAAAAAAAAAACTTTAAGCATTGTAATTTTGCATTTGTAGTTGACATGAAATATTACCTTATATAACCCTATCTAAAATGCTTAATTTACATAAAAATTACCTTCCATGTGAGGAGAATGAATATAATCTTTAGCAATGTTTGATGTAACATTCGACAGAGTATGCCTTCTTTTATTTCGAGTGTTAGAGTCAACCATTTATTTTCAAATGCACTGCTTGGTTAAAAAAAAAATTAACATATGATTCATAAGTTGGGCTTGCCTTTTATACGAAAAGTAACATGCGTGAAGATATAACGCATAAAAATACACATATGCAAGTACCTGGCAACGGTTGACGGAGGAAACAGAGTTACATTTTCTAAGCAACATAGATAAAGTGAATTAGATGCCAACACAACCTCCTTTTTTTTCGTAACAACAATAAAAATTCTTACAGGCAAAAGAGAGTTACGTACCATTAGTTATATCACAAAGATGTTGTCTGCCGCATGTAAACTCATTTCGTTCAGTGGTGATCTGAGTAAGGTTGTAATTTTTAAAACAGAAAAAAAAAAGAATGAATGAATAATAATAAAATTTAAATGAATCAGCGGACTTGCAATAAAATTACCTGCCAATGGTGGACGCAGATAACGGAGAAATATTTTCTACATAAAAAATACAGATTTCATTAAATATAAGAACACAACTAATCACAGTTCATACTCTTATAACACACGGTTGCAGTTCAATTTAGGTGGACATGAATTACCTGTTAAGGGAAGCATACGTGGTACATCGTGTGATGTTACATATGTCTTAGAAGTTTTCCTTTGAACCATTATACCTTTTCGCCTTAATCTGGCATATTTGCTATCTAAAAAATGTAAAAAAAAAAACAACAACAAAATGTTAACCACTTTAAGTTTCATACAGACTTCATATGAAATATTAGATTATCCTTTTATAAGAAACGTGTAATTTACAAAAAGACATTACCTTCCGTGGGAGGAGAATGAATATAATCTATAGCAATGGTTGATCTAACACTCGACATAGTATGCTTATTATTTTCGCAGGCACTGCTTGGTTAAAAAAAAGATTTAACATCTTATAAGAAAAGTAACATGCGCTAAAAGTTAAGGCCAAGTAAACACACATAATGTACCTGCCAACGGGTGACGGAGTCAACTGAGTTAGATTTTCTACGCAATAGAGATACAATACATTAGATGACAACACAACTATGGGAGCAAAAAAAAAAATTGACATAATATAATTTTTTCATTTTCTACGTAACAACAATCAAAATTCTGTACAGGAGAAAAATAGTTACGTACCATTAGCAGTTTTTTTTTGAACCATTATACCTTTCTGCCTTAATCTAGCCTTTTTGCTATCTAAAAAATGTAATTTAAAAAAAAAACAAAAAAAATGTTAAAAATATAACTTTAATACAGGCTTTGTATGAAATTTGAATTATATATGTATAACAAATGCAGAATTTACAGAA